AAGATCTGAAAACCTTGATTTTTAGTTTGGGAGTACCTTCGAGATGAATACAGGCCAACACAAAGATCTGAAAACCTTGACTTTAAGTTGAATTTTGTTGAGGTAAGACTAACACTGTGATGCAGAACATTCCGTGGTTGAATGATTTTCTGTTAGGAATGTTTTATTGCATGTATTTTGAACTCAGTAGCATAACATCAGATTTCTTCAGGAGATCCTTCCGAACAAGATTCAGATTTCTTCAGCAGCATAACTCAGTAGCACACACACGGTACGAATGGGAATGAAGGGAAAGCAGGCCAAAACTCAACTGGCAATTGCAGAGGAGGATGCACTTGACCATGTCCTCGAACAGCGTGGGCGAGCGGAAGACGCGCCCGAACCCCGCCTCCCGCGCCGCGGGGTGCATCGCCTGGAACTCCGCCACCATCTTGCCATCCTCCTCCGACAGCCGCAGCATCCGACGCACCTGCTCCTGTGGATACCATACCAAAGCAGGAAATCAGAAGAGCGTCGCTTCGCCGACAGCGCCATCGTCAACGCTCGATCCGGATCCGGTCCATGTGCATGCTTACGAGGATGTGGTCCTGGTCGAGAGGGGAGAGCGCGGCGGCGCCATGCACGGCGACGAGGAGCGCGGAGTCCGAGCGCGCGGGGTGGGCGGAGACGCGGGCGAGGAGGGAGACGGAGCTGTCGGAGGCGAGGCGGAGCGGGCGCACGAGCGCTCGGCCGGCTGGGTCCCACCGGTTGGGAGCCATCATGAACAGCCCGTGGCTGCACACGGCCGCCGCCAGGTCGAACGGCGCGGCGGCGCCGAGCGGGAGCTCCAGCTCTACGCGGGGCTCCTCTGCAGCTCGCGGTCGCGCTGCGCCGCCGCCGCTTGGGGTCGGCATGGGTGCAGCGTGCGGAGCGGCGGCGGGAACCGGCAGACTGGCTGTGATCGAGGCACGGTCGGCTCACCGCTTTCTTTTTGGGAATGCTTTGACCGCAGACTATTGGGTGACGAGCAAGGTGCAGCTTTTTATGATTTAGCCGTTGAAACTGTTTGTGTTCGGTGGAGTTTAGGGCACGTTCGCTTCCGGCTTATCGGCTAGTATTTTTTTCTCACAGTAGGCGAACAGACTCACTGCTCTGTCACGAAAGGATGCAATTAGAGCCATTATAATGAGAGGGATCGTTCGTTTTTTTTTTCTGAAATTTTCTTCATTCCCTATTTGACACTTACTTCAACTTTCATCTCTAATTTGACATTACCGTCAAATCCGTTAGCTAACGGTGTTAACTGGCTGTTAAAAAGACGTTTTTACCCCTAGAAAAAAAATGACGAAGCAAATTTAAGAGGGAAAAAAAAACCTACGCCTTTTTTTTTGCAGCTGGGCGCATGCATCAGAGGGGGCGCAGTTTTTTTTCCCTCTCAAATTTGCTTCGCCGCTTTTTTTCTAGGGGCAAAAATGTCTTTTTAACAGTCCGTTAACACCGTTAGTTAACGGATTCGACGGTAGTGTCAAATTAGGGATGAAAGTTGAAGTGAGTGTCAAATAGGGAACGAAGAAAATTTCAGGGCAAAGAAAGAAATGACTCATTTTCCCAGTGTCAAATAAGGAATTCTCTCCAGTATAATAATCGGCCGTAAGGCTTATCTCCAACAAGAACATCCAAAATACAAGACATATTCGTTCTTTAGATAGCACTATAGGCAAAAGGTTCAATACCTATTCGGCATTTTCTTCAACAACAAAACCCAAAAGAAAATCATTTCTACAAATGGGTTTCCAGGAGAGAGAATGCTCATATTTGGGTTGTGCCTCTCAGGCAACCAAAAATAGGTCTTCCGTATAGGTACTCTGTTGGAGGCTGATTTTGGGTCTCTTGCTATCCATTTTGGGTTTGGATGTCCATATGGATTTCTTATTGGAGACCGTCTAAGCAGGCTGGATGCTGAGGTAGAGGAGAGAGAGGAGAAGCAGGCCGGCTTAGACACAAGAACCGAGAAACTCTATGAGAGAGATAAGTGGGCCATGTATTAATGATGAAGAGCTAACTATTATACGAGTGGGCTGAGAGGTAGGCTGTAGAAATCCTTACAGCCAACAACTGACTGTATTATTAACCTTGCTCTTAGGGACATCGGCTAGTGTGGTTCACGTTTCACCAAATTTTTTAGTAAACAGTATCTACATTTATTGATCTAAATCAAATTTATTATAAAAATACATTTCATAATCAACCTAATGATATTTATTTGATTATAAATATTGATATTTTTTATCTATATAACTGTTCATACTAATAAGATACTAAAATATGATACTATGCTAGATTTTTTTTTCTTAAACAGAGGTAGAGTAACATTTCTTTATCTATGCAGTTTTGAGTTTTGACAGTTTGGTGTCCTTTAAACAATATCGATATGCTAGTGAGACCCTAGCCTATCCGGGGTTTTGTTTGTTTCACAGTAATAGAAGAAGTATTGTCTTGTCTTGCTAACTTGTGACTTTTGAGTAGAATACTTGGTAGTTTTGTTTCTTTCTCCATCCAAATTATAACTTGTTTTAGCTTTTGTAGTAGGAAATAATAAGAAATAAAATGTCCGATGATGAGGTCTTACGCTTAGGGGGTGTTTGGTAGGGCTCCTCTAGAGAAATCGGAGCCGTTTTAAGAAGACATGACCGGCTCCTTTTTACAACGAAAAACAGCTCCAAACGGCTTATTCTACCAAAGCGTTTGGTATGACTGCTCCAGAAGAGCTGGAGCTAGGAGGAGCTATGCCAAACAGGGTCTAGTCTTAGCATAGCATAGAAGAAGTAATATGCAACATGTTTTGATGTGCATTGTCTTGTGCCCGGTTCGCTTGGCTGATAAGCCATGGCTGAAAAGTACTGTTAACTGATTTGTTGTGAGAGAAAAATACTGTTCGTTGACTGAAAAAGTACGGCTTATAAGCCAAACGAACAGGGCGTTGATATGTATAGTTCAATTTAATATATATCCTGAAAAAATTAATATATATATATATATACATTTATGAGCGATAATAACATAGTCTTGTCTAAAAAAATAGCACCCTAACATCACTATATTTTTGGCCCACCAGCTAGCCTCGCATTATCATTCTTTCGTGTCCTATAGTAAACTTATCTTTTAAAATGTGATTTGCTTTTAAAATATTACGAAACACCGACGGAAAAGTAAGCACAAAGCTAACCATCAGCGTGATCGGATCAGCTGCGACTGTGGCTGTGCACCGCTACATCTGCAATGCCGCGCATTTGTTTAACTGCACTGGAACTGTACTTTCTCCGTACTAAGAAGAGTGTTATTTTTTATTTTCAGATATCCTATTTGGCCATCAATCTTATTCAATTTTTTTGTGTATAAATATCATCGATTTTGTTATGACTTATTTTATCATTAAAGATACTTTAATAATATTTTTTTTTATTTTATAATTTATATAAATTTTTTAATAAGACAAACGATAAAACACGATATCTAAAAGTAAAAAACGTCACTGTTTTTAGGACGGACAGAAGCGAGCAGAACCATGTGTCTTTAAGAATGATTGAAAAGAAAAGTGACTCATGGAATGACATGGTGGCTCGTCTCTTCGACTCTTCCCCGCTGCAAAACTACCAAACTTTTGTATTGATTGAAAATACGATCCGATACCATGTGGCTGCATGAGCATGAACATAGAACAAACAAATATACGCGCAGAATAAAACATACACTAAAAACTTACTTAACGGTTCTGCAAGTATAGTGCTGGTTTAAGTGAGGCCATCCCATCCATTCCCACGTGATGCTTTGACAACCAAGGGAGTAGAGTATATGTACTGTAATTCTATTATTGTTTTTTTTTGTTTAATACTATGCTCGGTAGGAGAACTGCACACGGTTTGATGGATAGTGAATCATGGGACTGAGAACTCTTGAGAAGGTTTATATAACCCGAAAGAGTTGGTCTATATTGGATTTGAGTGTTTCAGAGGAAGGGAGCATCCGATTTCTTTTTAATTGTTCTTCTTCCTCCTCCCACTACTCACCGCTGCCGGACCTCGTCCTCGAGCCCGCCGTGGGGTTCGCCGGAGCTTTGGCGAACCCTAACACCCGCGGCGGCCTCCCCTCCCTCCCCCCTCCCCCCGCCGCCAACTTCTCCAGCTCCGACGAGCTCGCCCGCCGCCATCTTCTCTAACTCCGGCGAGCCTCCCCTACCTCGACTTGGCCCGGCCACCGCTACCACCGCCAGGGCCCCTAAATCGCCCGACCACCATCCCCACTGCCTGGACTGCCTCCCTCCCTCGGCTGGCCCCTTCTATACCCGCCAGAGTTGGAGAAGAAAAAAGGGAGAGCCTGAGAGGCTCGCCAGAACCCAAGCCACCGTCGCTGTCGTCTTTTGTCTCCGGTGGAGGGGGAGGAGTCATCGGACACCTACCTTGTCGGTGCCGCCGCCGCCGCCGAAGGAGATAGAGGAAGGAGATGCGAGCTCGCCTGAGTGCGGGATCGGACGGTCTCTGCTTCGCCCCCGCGTGGATCCGACGGGTGCAAAAATCGCACGTCCATCCCTGCTAAAACATCGGAGTGGTGTTTAGGAGAAATTTACAAATATGCGACTCCAAACATGAGGTGGGATGGGTCAGTCCAAATATGCAATTTTCTCGGTGTTTAGCGGTCCCGAACCCGAAAACGACAATGGCGAGGTTGGGGCAGGCCGGCACAAACAAGGAAACGCGATGAGCCCAATCAACGGCCGTCTGCTCGAGTGAGCCTTCGGCGGCTGCCGCGATGAGCACGTATCCGATCTCTCCTGCTGCCCGCTGGGCGCTGGCTTGCGCTTTGCATTCTTTGCGCGCTCTCTCCCCCACTCACCCGCCCACCCCCCTATCCATCCATCCATCCATTCATTCATGGGCCATCACACCTGCCTCCTCCCGCTCCACATCCTCCCCTCCGCCCACCAGCAGCCAGCACCCCAGCCGCCTCCCCCCTCGCCACTTGCGATGGCGGTCACGCGCGTCGCCGTGGCCGCCGCCCTCTCGGCGGCCCCGCTCTCCTCCCGCCGCCACCGGGTGGCCCTCCCCTCCTCTTGCCGCCTTCTCCCCCCCGCGGCGGCCACCTGCTGCAACAGCCGCACGCCGATGTCGCTGCAGGCCGCCGCCGCCGCACCCGCCGCCGGCGCGGTCGACGAGGAGACCCCCGCCTCCTCCTCTACCTCAGGTGCGCCTCCCCCCTCTAGCATCATCCTCCCTCGGAAGAGTCCAGATTGGGCCGTCGTGAAACCGCCGAGTTGCTCGTGCAACTGACCGAGTGATGATATAGCTACTCGCTGCCTGAGCCGCATTTGATCTGTGAGCGGTCGGAGTGAGAGCGGGCTACTAGCAACGTTTCTAATCAAAGAGCGAAGCGTGGCGAAGTAATTGGTTGTTTCGCTGACCCTGCAGATGCTAGCAAGGGGGTGGAGAACTTGGTGATCATCGGCTCTGGACCGGCCGGTTACACTGCTGCCATCTACGCCGCCCGGGCGAACCTGAAGCCTGTCGTGTTTGAAGGGTACCAGGTGGGGGGTGTCCCTGGCGGGCAGCTGATGACCACCACCGAGGTGGAGAATTTCCCTGGCTTCCCGGAAGGTATAACTGGGCCTGATCTCATGGACAGGTGAGACTGTTCGATAGTGGAGCCATTTGGTTCGATTTCGATAGTGTCATGTTGGTTTGTTACCGTGCTTACATCATCGCCGGTGCATTGGTTAAAACCAGAATGCGCAAGCAAGCGGAACGCTGGGGCGCAGAGCTTCACCAAGAGGATGTTGAGTTTGTGAATGTAAAGAGCAGGCCGTTTGTTATTCGTAGCAGCGACCGTGAGGTACACTCTGTAGTTCTATTCCTCATGCATGTTCGTCCTCTATAATCTGTTTTTGGAGTTTGAATTATCATTTTGCACAAGGTGGTGTTGCATGTTTTATTTGTTGGGCATTCAATGGATGCTATTAGCTTAATGTAACAATCTAATCAAAGATACAGTCCATTGATGATAAGCAAAAAACATAGGAGCTTTTATATAGGGGGAAAATGTAAGGATTCATGTCTACAAGAGCAAGCTCTTGAACTGTAGGTCAGTCCAGTGTTTATGTGGTTTACTTGATTATAGGTCTTACACTACTGTCTGGTCTTATGGTCTTCAGTTTTTCTGTTACCTGTCTCTTGTTTGTAGTTTCTACAATATGTACCCATTTGATATTGCAGACTTGCAATCACCTGGTACTCGTCCTGTTTTTAAATATGTGACGTTTAAGGCAAGCTAATTAGTTCATTTTTAACTAATTAGCTTGCCCTAAACATCACATATTTAAAAACGGATGGAGTATAATGAACGCAAACTATTTTAGACATTTTCTTCTCTGCATTAATCTCAGGGCATATGTAGGTGAAATGTCATAGTCTAATCATTGCAACTGGAGCTACGGCTAAGCGCCTCCGGCTGCCTCGTGAAGATGAATTTTGGAGTAGAGGCATCAGCGCATGCGCGATATGTGATGGAGCATCACCGCTGTTCAAGGGCCAAGTTCTTGCAGTTGTTGGGGGTGGTGATGTAGCTACAGAGGAAGCAATATATTTGACAAAATATGCTCGACATGTTCATTTACTAGTTAGAAAGGATAATCTACGGGCATCCAAAGCTATGCAGGACAGGTAAAATAATTTCAAGTCTTTTTCTTAGGAATGTTCTATTCTGTTCACACAGACATACTACCAGCAGATTGCCAGCATTTCACTTATCTTGGGCATCAGCACTTATTAGGAGTAATAGTGAATTGAATTATCTTCTTTTAGCTATAGTATATTTTTGTAACCCATAAATCATAATTATGATAGCACGGTATTATTTTTGGCTAGGGCTATTGCTTTCAAGTAGTGGTTATATAGGTGGCATTGTAAAATGCTGTATTTAGCCAATAATCTACAGTTTGTTGGATGTGAACTAGTAAATATGGTAACTAGGTTAGTTAGTGTTAGCTGTTTACCAATTTAAATACTAAAAATCATAGTATTACTGAGTTTTCATAGATCCTGCAGACCGTCATGTTTGGGAACTTATCTGTAGATTAAGTTATTATGTTCTTTGAAGGACGTGAGCTCCTCTTCAGTCACATGAAATATTAATGAGGTAAACTTCCAATTCCCTGGATGTTTGGTTAACAGGTTGATTATGGCGAATGTTTCAGAGTACTCAACAACCCCAACATAACAGTACATTTCAATACAGAAGCCATGGATGTTGTTAGCAATGACAAAGGGCAGATGTCTGGCATTCATCTGAAGAGAAGAGATACAGGAGAAGAATCAGTTCTTCAGGTGAAAGGTCTATTTTATGGCATAGGACATACTCCAAACAGTCATCTGTTGCAAGGCCAAATCGAACTTGATAGTGCTGGCTATATTTTAGTTAAAGAGGGCTCAGCCAAAACTTCAGTTGATGGTGTATTTGCTGCTGGTGATGTTCAGGTAACAACATCATTCACCTTCTGTATGGAACTTCTACATGGTTTGCAATGTATCTTATTTTCCAAAGCTCCATTGTCACCAGCATGTCATGTTTTTGTTATCTCACATAACATATCATTTCTTGATGTCTTAAGAAGGAAAGTGCTGCAGCTAAGTATTTGGAAAGTCCGTCAGTATAAAATGCAGTATATGTTATGCTAGATATACATTTGTGAAATTGAGATATTCCTATGGCCATTTTGGTTTTTATACTTCTCCAGTGTGTACCTGCAGGATCATGAATGGAGACAAGCTATTACCGCAGCTGGATCTGGATGCATAGCTGCTTTGTCAGTTGAAAGATACTTAGTTGCCAATGATCTTCTTGTTGAATTTCACCAGGTAGTCCTTTTTCCTCACAGTATCTGTTTCTTTATGACATCTGGTGCACATACCAACTTTGGTTTGCCTTGAACATTATTATAATGGAGGATGACTGTACAATCTTAGATTACTGGACCCACAATATCATGAACAGCTGCTTTTGTTATTTTTCCTGGTATTTCTAGTTTCTGGGTCATCACATATCAGCATTGCCATGACTTGTAACCACATTGGATTTTTACATATATGAAAATTTGAGCCTAGGCTTTCATCACATCTTATATAGCATGGTCAATTCACTTTTACTATCTTTTGCTGGCTATTTTCTGTAGTAGCCCCAATCAAGTTTACAAGGTACTGTTCTTTCTCATAATTTTAATTGAACTGCAGCCTGTTCAAGAAGAAACAAAGAAGGATATTACAGATAAAGATGTCGAAATGGGCTTTGACATTTCTCATAGAAAACACAAGGGACAGGTATTTATGCATAGATTGGCCCATATGATGAAAATATTAATTTGAAAACTGACGCTGAGCTTTCTTCTTTGCAGTATGCACTCCGCAAATTATACCATGAAAGTCCACGACTCATTTGTGTTCTATACACTTCTCCCACATGTGGTCCTTGCAGAACCTTAAAACCAATTTTGAACAAGGTTAGTTCCTGAAGTTGAAACTGAACATTGAACATCATCACACTCTATATAAATTTCCTTTGATAAACATCTATTTTTGAGCTACATAACTATAAATCTGTTCCTGAAGTTGAAACTGAACATTGAACATCATCACACTCTATATAAATTTTCCTTTGATAAACATCTATTTTTGAACTACATAACTATAAATCTGTTCCTGAAGTTGAAACTGAACATTGAACATCATCTCACTCTATATAAATTACCTTTGATAAGCATATATTTTTGAACTACATAGCTATAAATCTAGAAATATCAATTCGGCACCCTTGTTTCTCCTGATAATTTGGCATTTATAGTGCCTATCCAGTTCTCGTGATTTTGATCTGCTAGAGGCATGTTGGAGGCTTGAATACCAAAACCTGAAAGAATGGCTAAGCAAACAATATATGAATTCAAGGTCCTGAAACTTTGTATCTGATTGGTCTAATTTAAGGGCTCATATTCTTTTCAAAACAACCTACCAATCAACCTTAAAGCACCTCCCCTTTTTTTACAATGATAATAGGATACATACAACTTGGGTGTTAAAATGAAATCAACATTAGCTTCACAACATTGTGCGTGGCACGGCAACTAGCAGGCACATGCTGCTATTGTGATGCAAAATTCCCATTTTATGATCTGTGTGTATCTTAGTGTAGGTTGCTTGTTTTATTACTTGCTAATTGCTAATGTTAGTTTATCTTGCAGGTCATAGATGAGTACGATGAGTTTGTTCATCTTGTTGAAATTGACATTGAGGAGGATCCTGAAATAGCAGAAGCTGCAGGCATCATGGGAACACCTTGTGTTCAATTTTTTAAGAACAAAGAAATGCTTAGGTTTGTTATCTGTACTTATTTTTAGACCAAAGGCTTTTCAGCCCAGCTTATATTGAAAGCTTAACAGAGGGTATTGCTGGGGTTACCAACTTACAGACCAAGCACTTTAAACCCTCCACAAACACCTTCTAACCCCACCACCAAGAAAGTAACACAGAACAACCAAAAGCAACGATCTCGAACGGTAGGACCTATACAGACACCAAAGTTCACATAACAGAAACAAGAAGAAAAGGCCTTCATTAGACGCATTTGACCAGCTTGACAGCCCTTCCTTCAACTTCAGCAACACCCCTTCCATCCTGCTCCAGTCCTCCTTCGACAGCTTGGTCCACTGCTTTAGGAAACCAAGGGATTTGTAAACTACCTGTTTAGGAGATTTAACAATAACATTTGAAAACACAAGGTCATTTCTAGTTTTCTGTAAAGCCCATCCTACACTCGCTATGATCCACCACAACATATTGTTCCTACTCCCTCCAGCAGTCCGTAAGCAATTCTCTTGAAAGGTCTTGATCGAAGTTGGAGATTTAGACCAACCCAGATTATGTCTCACCCAGCACCATGTTACCATCGCTATAGGGCATTGAAACAACAAACGATCCACTGTTTCTTCCTTGCCACAGTATTTGGAGACCTTAGATCCATCCCAATTCCTCTTCCTGAGCTGTTATGCGGTTTGGATTCTGTCATGCCAGGTCATCCACAAAAAACAGTCTGAACTTTTAAAGGTACTTTGACTTCCAGATCTCCATCATCCTCACATCAACCACCCCACTGAAGGTTATACATCTGTACATGCTTCTAGTTGTAAACTTACCAGAGTTCTCTAACTTCCAGACTACCTTATCATCTTCATCATTCAGATTAATACCAGATGCTGAATGAACTTGCAAACCGAAGGCACATCTTGGCTAAATATTGGACTAGTTGGTGTATGTGTATTTTATCGTTCTTGGCCAAACCTTGTTGCTAGACCCCAAAAAGAGGGAGAACGCATTTTTTTTTAAAAAATATGTTGTCTGATGAAGTTCTCGAACAAAATTTTGTTAACCACAGGCATGCAATTGAACTCTTAAATCTGTCTTCTTTGAACTTTGATGCTTGCTAGTGACAACGAACTCATGGCGCGAGTCCTGTATTATGATGTCTTAGGTACGCCATTGTCTTATCTTTTGTTATCTTGGAACATGCAGGACTGTATCTGGTGTGAAAAGGAAGAAGGAATATCGGGAGTTTATCGAGGCGAACAAATGAGTTGAGCACGCAGTACACGCCCCCAAAAGGTTTTTGAAGTGCAGTGGTTCTTTTGGCGCTATTTTGACGCCACCCCCGGTGGCCAATTTTTGATCAGATTTTAAGATGAGCCTGGTGTAATGCAATGCCAAAGGAAACTAGCCGATCGCTCATATTGGATTATACAGCTCAAAATATATTCTTTGCTGTGTACAACATTACATGGAGTTGACCCCCCTGCTGATCAATGATCATTGTCTTGACACTGTCACTGTGCAAACTAATTCCACGGATTATCATCCATTAATCTTCAGTGTATACTCGGTAATGCTGAATCCGTGTTGATCACAAGGAAGCGACTGGAAAAAATATGCATGTGTACGTGTGGAAGCCTCTCTGCTCACTGTAGAATTTACCGGTCACCAGCGCTTCATCTAACACCAGCCTCTCCTCCTGCCGTGGCGACCGTTTCGCCTTCTATAATCGCCCGCCGGACTGCCTGACTCTACCCGGCTGCCACTTCGCCGCCGCTCTCCGTCCCCGGCGGTCTCGTCACCTGCGCTGCCGGCCCGCCACCGCGCCATGGCCGCGGGGGAAACCACCCGGGCCCCACCTGTCGCCCGAGACGAGTCAGCACACCACGCGTCAGGCCACAGCCGACACGGAAACAAAACCAGCGCACGGATAGGCGAGGCGACCCGCCTCCCCCCAGACAGATCCTTCCTTTATCCGCCACCCAAATCCGGCGAACCGCCCGCTCCGCCGCGCCAGCCAATCCCCACCTCAAATAACCCCCGGCGCCCGCGGCCGCGGCCCCACTCGCCCGCCGAGGGGAAATAACAAACAAGGCCGCACATCCACACGCCACCGCACGAAGCGAGCAGCCGAACCCGAAAAGGAGCAGGCGAAGAAGACAGCCGGGAGAGAATCCCCACCGCCTCGCGCGCCGCGGCAATGGAGGTCACCTCCTCCTCCTCCTCGCCTTCCGCGCCGCCGCCGGGCTCCTCGAAGCCGGCGCTCCGGCTCAACCCCGCGGCCGTCCTCCTCCGCCGCCTGCCGACCCCGACCCCCACCACGGCGACGCCCGTCACCGCGTCAGCGCCCCCCGCGCGGCCCGGCAGCGCGTCCAACCCGCTTGCCGCCTTCCTCTCCTCTCTCATCCCCTACTGGCGCGAGCGGCAGCGGGGGGCGCCGAAACAGCCGGCCCACCCCGCCGTCTCCGCCGCTGCGGCGCGGAGGGCGGCCGAGCAGGCGGAGGCGGAGGCGCGGCAGCTGGTGGGGTGCGCGGTGCCGCTGTTCCGGCCGTACGTGGCGCAGCTGCCGTGGCACGGCGGCGCGCGGGCGTGGCTGTCGAAGCTGTTCCCGCGCTACGGCCACTACTGCGGGCCCAACTGGTCCAGCGGCAAGGAGGCCGGCTCCGTGCTCTGGGACCGCCGCCCCGTCGACCACCTCGACTTCTGCTGCTACTGCCACGACATGGCCTACGACACCCACGACCAGGCCCAGCTCCTCCGCGCCGACCTCGCCTTCCTCCGCTGCCTCGAGGGCAGCCGCCGCACGCCCGCGCGCGATGGCATCGCCGCCGCAGCCATCTACCGCGCCATGTGCATCTTCGGTGAGCCCAATTCTCCGTTGCCAATCCTCGCACTGGCCGTAGCCTTGAAACCTAGTATGTCGATTGAGTGATTGGTGGGGCGATGCGTGCGTGCGTGCTTTCAGGACTGAAGACGATCCTGATCCCGTACCGGACGAACCTCGTGCGGCTGCAGACGGGGCCGAACTACGCGGATTTCTTCGCCGATTTTGTGAAGAGGGTCGCGTCGTCGTCGGGCAGGCCGACCGGCGGCGAGAAGCAGAGGCTGTGAACAAATTTGATCGCCTGGTCCTACATGTAAGGTGGTAGATCGAGCCGAATTGGTTGGGGGAATGAGATCGTAGTAATTTGTCTATATAGGTAGCTTGAGTTTTTTTTTAATCCACAATATGGCCAGGGAAACTGTGTCATCCTGTCAATTTGGGGGTAATTGTAGCAACAGATGAGAAACTTGAGGTTTCTACTGTGAATATAGCACAAATGTGATGCCCTTGGTTGAAATTGATAAGATCAGGGCAATACTCCTAAGAACAGCAGGTCAGCAACCATGCTGCTGCATTTCTCTCTTTGATCTTCAGTTACCATCTGTTATCTATCTGCCTGTCTGGAGTTCGGACACAAGGACACCTTGTTAAAACTCTAGGATCATAGGAGTAGATCTAGTAGGTACATTCTTTTCTATTGGGGATAAAACAGAGAGTTTTTCCTAGAACATGAACTAGATAGAGAAGAGAGAGAGAGAGGGAGATAGGGGATAGAAGTCGCTGACCATTGGGTTTAGTGGAGGAGGTGGCCATGGTAATGGTGTCCGGTGACGGCCGCGTCTCGGCGGTGAAGTCCAGTGGCGGTGAAGTCCAGTGACGGCGGTGCCCCCGGCAGCGGCGAAGGCGGTGGCGCTTCTCGTCGCTGTCAGCGCTCCCCTCTAGATCGGATTAGGGTTGTAGGTGGGGTTCTTTGGGCAGCGATGAACCTCGTACTTTGAGCCCCCGGCCCCACCTTCTCTTTATAGCGCTGCTCGACGGGGGCCCACCAGCCATGTGTGCGGCTGGGCGCCCCCGATCAAGATGCAAGTCAGGGTCCGACTCATTCTCCCTCTTGATCTTACTTTATGACTTGAACCTAAAATACTTATCTCAGCTCATTCCATCACAGATTAGTGTATAGAATATGTCTCGTCACAACAGTCAGTACCATTGGATTAACAGCTACAATACAACTCTCTGTTTTAAAATAGATTCTCAACTATGCCTTATTGTCCAGGGATCATAGGCTTTCCCATAAACCCATACCGGCTAAGTGTTCTCTGAACATATTGGGCGGTAAGCCTTTTGTAAGCTGAACCGCAAGCATTTTCTTTGTACTTACATGCTCGAGACTAATAGAATGATCTCGGACTTTGTCTTTCACAACATAAAATTTTATGTCAATGTGTTTGACAACACCACTTGACTTATTGTTATGAGCATAATATACCGCTGGCTCATTGTCGCAGTATAACTTGAGTGGCCTATGAATATCGTCGACCACTTTCAACCCGGGCATAAATTTCTATAGCCAGTTCACCTACCCCGTGGCCTCATAGCATGCTACAAACTCAACATACATCATGGACGATGCAACAACCAGTTCTCAATTTTTGCTTAGAGCTTTTCCACGATATAGCTTAAGACAGAACCGCTCAATTTATACAAGATTAAGTATGACTGTCCTTGTTAAACACGTTGACACGCGCATACCGTCACTTATATGAACCCGGTATTCCGTTGAGTGCCATGAAGGCCTTGATAAATCAACTTCACAACCAAGATCGTACTTGATTAAACAAATACATATCACATACATAGAATTTGCAGCTGAAAATAATATTACAATAGGGTCACAAGTGATTAATACAAGTTCAGTTTCAAATCCAATAGGTTAAAACAATATAACTTTGAAATGATTACCAAATCATAATTTTGAATCATATTGCTAGCTCTGATGACACCCTCCAACAAAAGCATAGATGAGAAGCAAATACAGAATAGCCGAGCCCATCGGCACTTAGTCACCACCTTCAGTAGACATAACACTTCATCTGCAACAAGGTAGGATAAAACCCTGAGTACTCAATTGTACTCACCAAGACTTACTCGACAGAAGAAAAATGAAGACTCCAAGGATATGCATGGTTTATTTGGTGGAGCTTGTTGAATAGCATAATCTTTTGCAAAAGAGCTTACTATGTAAGTCCTTACTTTCAAAATTTTAGCATCAAGTTCAGTGAAGCCAATTATAGCTAAGTTTGCATGTATCCTGTAATAATCATTTGATTAATAAGTATCACAGTAGTAATCATATTCAATTATAATGATCAACAGAACCATCATGTTTCATCAGTTACTACGATTGCCAGAGCAAGGTATGAGTTTCTCACTATCCGGAAAAGACGGCGATTCGAATCGATTACATCCAGCTGGGCAATCCCAAACACACACCCGTACGAGCCCACATTAGCTCACGTGGGTCACCATTCACTCCATTCGCAAAATTCATGATCCTGTATCCTCACATGAATTGCCCGAAGCCCGAAGCCCATAGCAAACATGGTCTTGGACCAGTCCCCTTCCTTTAATACTCTCCTCCCAGCAATGCTAACGGTCCAATATACTTAGCCTGAATGAGCTAATCGGCTTCACGATCAACTATAACTCAGGCCCCTGTTATCTGTTTGGTACCTTCAATCTCAACCAAGGTCCGACAACGAAGTGGTCCTTAAATGACACAGACGGGATCAAAGAATACATGCCTAGCCAACATCAACAACAACCATAATAGCACCGGATCCTGTCCGGTCTCCAGTTATCCATTATCACCTGGTTCTTTTCCACGATAGCAAATATAACCATCCGTGTCAGAGTAGCCACCTATGTCTCGCAGGCGACAGGAATCACCTGCCTTCTACCGGTCTAAGTATAGCTAAGCATAGAGCGACCTATACATACTAGTAAGGATACAGGTATATATATTGTAGACAAGGTAAGACATGCAGCAACGGGTTTCAATTCAACTCCTATACTTAATGCACAATACAAAATATAAACTCAAGTGTATTTTAAAAGAGAGGTAGGAGGCTTAGAGTGCTCCGGGGCTTGCCTGGGTTCGAAGCACAATGTCAATTGGTTAGCTTCGTCTTCAGGACGTGATCAACAATCATGTTCATCTTCTGGACTTGGTTACCGTTACACCATCTTCTGGTCGGCTTCAACACCGCGTCCTTCACTTCTTTGTGTCATTCATCTTACATACCTAGATGATATGCAATGAGGCAATGCATGACTAAAGGAAAAGCAACACAAAGTGTATTACAAAGAGGCACAAAAGACAAGCATAAGGTTATACTAGATTTAGACATTGGCATTTAGGTGGATGATGGTTAACTAAACATCACACAACTTACTAAGCTACGACAGCAAAGCAACACCAAGGCACTCTCATGCAAGCTAGTCATACCAATCATGATCAAGATCCTACTATTATATGCAGACAACAATTTGAACATCACGCCTACACACATGACCACTCCTTAGCTGGATTGGTGACCATCATTACAAAACTAGATAATACCCCGCGTGTTGCTGTGGGAATTTTAGTGTTCTATGAAACAAATACTTGTAGCGTAAGAAATACTTGATCGGCAGTTTTTGAGATCCAATGGGTTCCCAGGACGTGCGTATGTGCCATAGAAATTTCCCACAAAGATCTCTTTTAAGTCCGCCCAACTTTGGATTCGGTTGGGCGGAAGGTGTTCCAACCATGTTCGCGTCGAATCGGCTAAGAACAATGAAAGGTTGCGGATAATGAAATTGTCACTATCCGCTCCACCGGCTTGGTAAGCAAGCCGATAATTCTCGAGCCACAGTCCGGGGTTTGTTTCCTCGGAGTATTTCGGGATGTTGGTCGGCGGTTGGTACCGCGGTGGGAAGACGGCGTTGAGGATGTGTCTGCCAAAGGCCTGAGGTCCCGGCCAAGTTAGGGCTCGGGTTTCGGTCCTCGTCGCTGTCGTAGCATCCGCCACGACGAGGGTGGTAGCCGTAGCTAACCTCCTCCCTCTCATCGCCGCAGGCATGCCTGCGGGCATCTAGGGTGTTGCGCGTGTAATGGTGGAGGCCGAGACGCTCATGCACCAGGACCGCGGCGCGCGGCCTGTCGCCTCGCTGCGCCTGGTGTACTGACACGTCCCTGTCGGGTCGCTCTAAGGGCGCGCGCTGGCTGGCGTCGAGCTCGCGTCGTCGGGATAGCGAGCTCGGCCTCTCTCGCCGCCGCACGCTCGAGTAGCGTGCGAATCTCGCGATGGGCCCGACGATCCTCGGGTGGCGCGGGCTCTGGAAGCCCCCGAAGCAAGGCCGCCCGCGACAGCGATGTTCTGGCTTGCCCGGGTGAGGTGTGGGAGGGCTTCGTCGTCCTTGATGATCCTTTGGTTCACGTCGCGGGCCACGGCGCGCGCACGCCCACCGTCTCTGTGGCGCTCGATCTCAGGCTCAAGCTCCGCGCGTTCCTGCTCGAGCTGGAGTTGTGCTTCTTCAAGCTCCTGGTGCGCGCCCTCAGCTGCTCTACCCGCATGCAAGGTAGGGCCCCTGCATCCCCCTCGACCTCGTCGTCGAGGTCATCTGTTGGGGTAGCCCCTCCCTCGTGGATGCTTTCGATGTATCCCTTGGGGGTACCTACCATGAAACATTCTTGTGAGGGGTGATGACTCCTCCTGCTGGAGTCAAGAGTCGGAGGGCGACTCCGATTCTCCCGCGAGAAGGTCGTGGAAAGATTTCGCGACGTATTCGGTCATCCCCATGAACTGGTCGTTCGTAGGGGATGGAGGCGTGCGCTATGCCACAAGGTGGCCAACGGTCTCTGCGGCGTTGCGCAAACCGAACATGAGCGTTGTCGGGGCGCTCCGTATGAGGTATTTCGGGGAGAGCGGTTCTCCTCAGGCAAGTTGCGTCATGACATTGGCGAACTAGAAGGTGAGGGACGCAGGTCCTCCCAGGATGGTCGGGTCCCAGGGAGGCACCGAGCTGGCGCTCTAGCCTCCCGTAATCGAAGTCGAGGAGCTGGTCGCTCCCGGGGGCGCGGGCCTTCGGTGCGTGCAGCTGCAGCTCCTCAAGCGCCTCGACGATCGCGCGTGGTCGGCGGAGTGGAGAGGTTGGACGGCGGCGAACCTGCGCCAACTCTCCCTCCGTCGTAACGATGAAGTCCAGGTTCCCGAAGCACACGAGCACGCCCGGGACCCAACTGACACCGTGACTAGCCATCCAAGGCCTGATGTGGACGTCGAGACGTGCAAAAAGCTCCTACCTGGCGTGCCAACTATCGGTGTTTTCGGACCACCGATGAATAAATTTGTATTTGCGCGTCTGGCTCGGATGGTGTGCTCGGAGGACACAAGGGTTTATACTGGTTCGGGCGAAACATCCCTACGTCCAGTTCGCTGCTACTCGTGTTACCGGCACTTGGTTTGCAGTAGGGGTTACAAACAGGTGAGAGAGAGAGAGGATCACATGTCTCTGGTGGAAGGAGTGAACGGGTGCTGAGAGCTCGCTTGTCGCTCAGCCGTGTGCTCATGTCGTGCTCTTGTCTTAAGATCCCCCAGCGTGGGGCGCCCTACTTCCCCTTTTATAGATGAAGGGAAAACGCGGGTTACCAAAGAGGAAAAGGAGAAGAACGAGAGAGAAGAAGGCTTCCAGGGTTGTCGGGTCCTTCTTCTCCTTCATGCGGGTCCCGCTGATCCTGTAGATGTCAACAGGGACGGCTCCATGTCGCGGCCCTGTTCGTCACTGGCGCCATGCGTAGGCGTCATCTACCGGTCATGGCGTTCCACTCCGTCTCGGCGGACGTCATGATGAACTGACGCGTCTGTCAGCATCCGTACGAGGATTAGGCAGAACAGCACCGACATGTCCGACACTGTTCTTGATGTGAATTCCTAGGTATGGCCCGTCATGGCCATGGGTTACATCGAGGCGTGCCAGCCTCTTCCCTGGCGTCAGAGTTTTAACCCAGGCCCACCCGTCCTCGAGGTCGGGCGAGACGGAGCCCATACCCAAGGTGTTGGGTGAGATGAACCCGCGCCTTAGGGTCGGGGGAGACGGAGCCCGGACCCAAGGGGTCGGGCGAGACGGATCCCACGTCCTCGAGGTCGGGCGAGACGGAGCCCGCACCCAAGAGGTCGGGCGAGACGGAGCCCGCGGCCTTTAGGTCGGGCGAGATGGAGCCCGCGGCCTTGAGGTCGAGGCGAGACGGAGCCCACGGCCTTGGGGTCGGGCGAGACGAAGCCCGCGACCTTGGGGTCGGGCGAGACCAAGTCAGCGTGGGCGCTAACTTCCTTGCTTTGGGTATCCCTAATATCGATACCCGACACATAGTGGCAAATGCACTCTAACTTCGCCCAGGTGAATTATATTACAGACAACCAATTTCACAAAAAGAGAATATGATCAAGCATACAGGAGGAGGAGGTTGCACATGTCGACCTCTACTAGCGGATTCTGCAACAACAACGACAAAGAAAGATCCTTTGTTTTCCTCAAAAAAAGAAAGAAAGATCCTTTGTATGCAAGAAATTAGGCTGAGCTACAACCTAGACCCTTTGTATGCAAGAAAATAGGCCAAGAAACAATCAAAATAGCTCACAACCTAGCCAAGGAGGCAATGGAGGCACACTTCTCATTCAACTTTGTTTTCATGTAACCATGTAGGCCACTCAATGCATTTCCCCAACAACAGGTATTGCAAAACATACACTGGGATGATTTCCACCTCATTTCTATGACTTGTTTTTATAATGAATAAAAGTGCCAAAAGAATTAGCACGAGGGTATCAACCAGCACCCTGACACTTCAACAAAATTACAACCAAACAATTTCTATTGACATCAGCTACAACCACGAAGAAATTCATCCAGTAAGAAAAAATCCACATGCCAGATTCTTTGGAGCAATCCATTTGGCCTAACACTTAACCACTAGCACAAACAAATGAGGCCCTCACCTTTGAGCCGAATCAATATGGGGGGTGGGGGCCCTCGAAAATAGGCCAAGCAGTATGAGCAGCTCGAGGAAGTAGCCAATCCCCCGGCGCACCCCGCAGTCGTGCTCAAGACCCTTTCCACTGTTATCACCCCCGGCCGGTACCTCATCTTTGTTCCTGCAAGCACATACAAGCACCACACCCCATAAGCACCAGCACCACCGTAACCAAACCCAGAAGGCAGGACGCACAACACAATCAAGCCGGGCAAGTCCATTCCTGTCTCGTTGAGGTCGATGGTGTGGCGGTCGGATATCTTGTCGAGGAGGCGGAGGAGGGAGACCTCGTGAGGGCGGAGCTCCGGCGCCGCGTCTCCGGAACGGATGTCCTCGATGGTGACGGCGGTGGAGGTGAGCGTCGCCAGCACCATCCGCTGCCGGAAGTCGCGGCTGCCGGAGAGACGCCGGCTCTTCTCTAGCCCCATCTCTGGGGGCGGTCGCGTGGCGGGGGCGGGGGCGGAGGCGGAGGTATGGAGGGTTTAGGATTTGGTAGGATTTTGGCGCGCTGCGGCGAGGCTGGTCCGGGCGGGTGGCCGGAACCAGCTTGAGGGGAATTTGATCGAGAGCAGTGGAGGAGACAGACGTGTGGGGTCGGATATAGAATTAGTAGGCCCACAATGCAGTCTCCTGGGCCTCAAGTAATGGCCCATGGAGTGGGGGAGGTGGTGAAGTGTCGCCATGATTAATTTACAGTATATCCTTGTCATGGCTGCGGTAAACCACTAAAACTAGTTTAAAAGATTGTCTAAGAAACTGGAATGTTTCAACCGGAGAATTTAGTCAGATGTGTACTTTCATAATTCCAGTTGCTAATTGCATCATCTAGCAAGTCTTTGTAGCTGTACATTTTTCATAACTGCAATTGGTACTTCTATCATGTAGAATTTTTTTTCAAGATGTACATTTCCATAGCTGCATTTGGTACTTACTACCTAGAAAGTATCGCTTTGGTTTTTGAACTGAGTGAGTTTAGCATTGCTAAGTCATGTTCGTCGTTTCAAATCAAGGTCCCTGATCGCTTGAACTTATCAGCCTGGCTTATCAGTCATGATATAGTATTTTTTTTCTCTCAACAACAAATCAGTAAACAATACTTTTTAGACTGGCTTTTCAGCAAAGTGAACATGGCTTGCTAAAAACGAAATTTTCAGGTTTCTGCGCTCTGCAATTTCACATAATTTATGGCTGAATTTCAAATTCGATGGCTACTGACTTGTACGAATCTTGGAAGTTTTATTTTGAGGGCACCTTCTGCAGTCTGGTATGTTTCTTTAAACGTCCATCTGCGGCGGAGGCTCCTGTTGGTGGACCCGATGTCTAGAAGCCTAACCATTCCTATTCGCTCCCCTCCGGTCACCGCATATTAAAAAAATTCACACATCACCGTGACTCGCACTCTGCGTCTGGCTCTGTCGCGGCTCCCGCACGCCTCCCTCTGTTGTGCCTCCTGCCGACCTTCCTCTCCACCGTTGTTGCTCCCAGAAGGCGTGCTCGACCACACACCACATCTATGGCATGCTTTCGCCACAGGCGACCCACCCACCGACCGATCGCTTTGTCGCCTCCATCGCGGGCACCACGTGCGCCCCTATCGCCGGGGGCAGCGCAGCCGCTCACCAGGGGCCACACAGTCGCCCTCCCACTGTCATCCTCCTTCTCCACCGCAACCGCACAACCGGATCCCACTGTGTTGTGCTCCACCAGCCTGGCTACCATGTTTTGCTAAAAGCACATGTTGTAAGCATATGTTTCATGTGTTTCAGAGGTATGTTGCAAGTATTTCAGATAGATGTTGTATATCGAAATGTTGCATATGTTGCAATGGTTGTACACATATGTTGCTAATGTTTCATATATGTTTTCCGAACACATGTTGCAAATGTGTTTGTCTGGATGTTGCATATGTTTCACGCATACATTGCATGTGTTTTATCTGGATGTTGCGTATGTTTGCAATGGTTTTCAAATGTTTTTAAGTGTTTCACAAGAATGATTAAAGTGTTTCATCTACCTTCAGATGTATGTTGCAACTATTGTATTTGGATGTTTCAGAAGCAGGTCGGGTGTTGCATCTCTCCTCCTCGCCTTCTATTGCATCGTCCCGATGTGTCCTCCTCCTAGCGCCGGCAGGGCATCCATACGACGCCGCGGCCGGATCCTTCCGAATCGGAGTCGCCGCCCCTTCCCTCTTGTCGCTCGGGTGCACGGGCCCACGTGAAGCGCGCGAAACATAGTGCAGCACACGGGCGTTCGAACACTAGCAATGCCGTTCTTTATGGTGTTTTGCCTTCTTGTGCGGAGTCGCAGAAGAGTTCTACAAAATAATCACACCGTTCTATTTATCCATCCCATGATCTTTCTCTCGCGGGTATGCTTCGCTATCTGGCGCTAGAATAATCATGAACTAAAGTTAAATAGGGATTTTATGAAAAAACAACTAGATCACGAGTAATATCCCTGATCTTAATCGGGGGTTCTGCAAAATGTTTTCACTGCGACCTCCTCTGACTTTGAGTTGAGGCAGGTGGCAGGCCCCATTTACTTTTCTTCAAGCCTTCAACTGAGAAACTGTTGTGATTGAACGAGTAATATACATGATGAATTGATAACATCGTTGGACACACCACATCGAGAGTGAAGAAATACTAATCATTGCAGTTCAAAAGCATCTTTTGTCAACATACAATTCAATACCTTAGGGGAAAGGGAAACCATGGGCATGCTTCCAATGTGCACGATATATATACTTCAAGTTCAAGCGAAGGAACAGACAGAGCACAAGACCGTGTTTCCAGGTGACAGTGAACCTCTGCGATTCATTGATCAATAATGCCGGTCCCGGTCCTGGCGTGTGCTCAGTGCTCAGACCCATCTCAAAGGGGCTGTGAATTCACGAGACTATACAGGTGTACACTTGAGCCTAGCGGGTGTCGAAATAGTATGCTACCGATATTTATACAGGCTTATCCTGACCCGTGATTAGATAAATGGATCTATATTGTCCTAACATAAGCATGTGGAAACATCCGTGGGAAATAAGTGTGCTTCGCCTTGACAATCAACCAATACAGAAAGAAGCAGGGGATATGAGCGATGGCCATGCCAAGGTACCTGCACCAAATTCAGGTTGCTGTAAGGTTTCCCGGATGACAGAGAATAAAGGATGAAATGAGGAGGTCGATGCCAGTACCATAGAGGAGCTCCAGATGATGAAAGGTCCAGAAATGGGTACGGCCACCTGAAAAGGCAAAAAAGGGTCACAGTTTCATCACTGAAGGTACCACGTCAGCCCTCATTCAAATGCGTGCATAACTGAACCGAAGCAATATTCCAATATGCATTGCATTGATGGCATACCAACATAGTAAGATAAACTACAAGAATTGAGAAAATAGGATATACTACTTTGCTCATATGAGTGTGCCAACATGCATGGCCAGCACCAAAAAATGAATCTGCAGCATATTCAGAAATCAGAATGAAATCATAAGGGAAACTGAATAGTGAATACACATGCCAAATTGCTTTAAGACAAATGTCACATGGGTATGGAATTGCACCTCAACAGAGGAATGGCAGTATGGCACATTGCAGTGTTCAACAAAAGCATTTTACATTTGTCTCCTTTTCTTTTAAGTTAATATGCTCCTTTTCTTATAAGTTAATATACCAACTTGTAGGTTTTGCTTCATCTTTCCCTTAGTGTACACAATTTACTAGCATAAAGATGCATCTAATCCAAGAGATGGTAAACCAAAGGCATTCCATTTAGTTCTCCGAATTATGCAGCAAGGAGAAAACTTACCAGGATAAGCCTCCACAAGCATGAAGGATCCACTGGAATGTTACATAGGCGCAGCTCCAGAAAACAAAGAAAGCCATTCGGTACCAGGGAAAAGGCTGAAAATCCACGAGTCTTAAGTAATTAAACCAACTGCACAAAGGGCAGAGCAAAACAACTTAGAAGTAATCTTACCATATTGTTGAGAACTGTGTCTATAAGTAGAAAAACAGCATTTACGGAGTGCATGCCATCAGTGACCTGCATGGAATTTTGATGGACACGATGGCAAGATGTAATAAGGCATTGCATAAAAAAACAGTAAACTTGGTGAAAATAAAACAGCTTAATCAGTTAATCTTCTGAGTTCATTTGTGCACTATGTCTCCCGTTGGGACTTCCTAAATTTTCAGGTGGTCATGGCTAAGCCATAACAGAGATCAGACAAAACTAGATTTGCCTCCAAAAGGGCTTCAGCTGGAAGATGGACAGCATGAAATTCAGAAAATGGCAGGACAATTGCTCCATCATATGGCCTATAGGCTTGGCTAACTAACATAATGAGTTAACGGCACATTCAACACAGACTATTTGACTTGATGTTTAGAGTTCGTGTTATGTTTTCTATCACTCAATATAATGGCGAGTTCAAGATACCACTGTGATATATAGAGCATTTAAGTTGTGCCCTTTATCAAGACAGGGCTTGCTAATGCTGTGAACAATTGAGTCCTCTAATGTCTAGTACTACGAAAGCATAGTAGGAATAATATGTAGTACAAAGGTAGTACTGTCGACATACCAACGCTAACCCAAACTTGTCACGGTAGAAGAATGGCACAAGAAGCCCCCAAAATGTGACATCAGTCAACATTGTTGCACCTGCGCTAATCTGCAGAAGGCAAAGAATATCAGTGAAGATTCATCACTCAAGAGTGACACACATCATCAGTTGCTCACTCAAGTGTTCATTAGCAGGCACAAGCTTTGCACTGTAGTAAATGGCCAAGGGAGCAAAAACCAAAGAAAATTACATGAGCTAAATTCCATAGTTTTAGGCATGAAATTCGTTTTGACTCTGAATCACATTTCACATGTAGATATTAGCAGCATCTGCATAGTCAGAACTTGAAAGAAACTAAATAAGGTGGATAAATGCTCATCAAACATGATGCTGCGACCAATCATCAAATGTTGCTGTGGCACATTCCAAACAGTGGTAACACTGAATTGGCAAAACTACCCGGACAACATAAAACACACAGATATGTAATTCTTAACAAGGAAAAGAATATAGTACAAACCTGGTATATGATTTGCATGCACTGGCCCCAGAACCCAGCTCTTCTCTCATTCACTATTTGTTCATAATAGCTCACCATCATATTTGTCTCATCTTTTTTCCTCTCTCCAGAAATGGAATTGGAAACATCAAGATTTTCGACGTCAGCATTAAGAAATCCATGGGATTCATCGGCTTTCCCCAGACTTTTCCTTGAGTAAACCCAACATCCATGGGCTGATATAGCTGTGGCAAACTAAGAGTAACACGCCAAAAGTAATAAAAAAAAAGAAGTCAACAAAAGGTTAACAAACGAACTATAACAAAGTAACAAAGGAATTCTTCGAAAACTGATTGCTGTTAGTGAAGTGGTAGCGGAACACAGAAAGAAGCAGGGCACATACCGCAAAATATATGGTGACTAATAGAAATGTCCACCTGCAAAACCATTTCGAAGAATAAAGTTTGGAGTCAAAATGGGAGTTAAGAAACAAGCAACACAAGTAACAGCACAGAAGCAGCTGATAGTGTGTGTGTGGGGGTGGGTGGGTGGGTGGGTGGGGTGGCAGTAAACTCAATTTGAAATGGCCCATACACGAAAGAATGAAGCTTTAGGTTGAAATTTCTAATTGGGAAGCCTGTCTGTGGGCTCTTTTATTTCAAGTATGGTTGCGCCAAAGCGTCCTTACTTACTCGGCCATGTGCTTAGCCCAAGTCCCTAGGTACACGCTAACTCGAACCACACTGTAAAATGACATACACGCAACTACGCAAGTAAGATATGCCAGCAGGAATTAAGTGTATAGTAGTACCACTTGTCTGTTCTTAGCATTAGCAATTAAGCTGAGAGAGAGAAGGAAGTAGGACGACTTGACTCTTGAGAAGGAGGAGGGAGGGAGGGAGGGACCGTACTGGGTGTAGAAGTAGAAGACAGCGAGGCCCTTCGCGACGAGGAGGCGCGCGAGGAGCGCGACGGCGGCGGCGAGCGCGAAGGCGCGGTAGGAGAGAAGCCAGCCCGGGTGGAGGCGCGCCCAGCAGGGGACCCAGAGGTCGGCCGCGCGCAGGGGCGGCGCCGCCCTCCGCAGCCGCGGCAGCAGCACCGCCGCGGCCGCCGTGGGGAGCGCGATGAGCGCGCCGCAGACGAGGACCTGCCACCGCAGCCAGTACGCCGCGCCGTCCGCCGGCGACAGCGACAGCGACAGCGACATCGCGCCGAGGGCCGGCACCCTAGCTTCGGCTCGGCCTGGAGCTCGCGGGCGCGGGGGGCGGGTGGGAGGTTGGGTCGACCTCTACCGCGAGAAGCAATTCAATGCGACGACGACGAGGCGGGGGAGGGAAGTGGAACTCTGGTCTCTGGGCCAGGTGGGAACTCTGGGTTCGTACGGCTGGGTCGCTGCTTGCTGTGCGCGGCGCCCGTTGCGACCGATTTTTTTACTTTTTTTTACAAACTTTCACGTTCCACGGCGCCGACCAAGAACACTGGCGTCGAGCCTCTTCCACGTTCGCTTCGAGTTTAAGAGCTTAGCATCGGAGACGCTGGCATCGAGATATGTTAGCTTGACGTCAACTTCAATGATGTCAAGCTAAGGATCTATATTCTGAAATTTTTCCTTTAAGATCTATTTGTGATAAACTTAAAAAAAAAAAGACTAAAATATAAAAAATTCGGCCGTTGCGACCGCGTTCCGGTTCCGGGCCGGTCGTGCTGGACCTGGACGTGGAGCGTTGGTTCTGGATTTGGCGCCGGCGACGGACTTCTAGAAGCAGACAATTGGATCCTGACGTCACTACATACGTGTCAGATCGCGTCGAGGTCGAACAGCTTGTTGTAGCTCATGTTGGCCGTTTTTCAATGTCGTCACTGCCTCCTGCTTTCTTCGAGAGAAAACGTTGTGAGCTAATTTGCATAATAAAACCAAAAGCTATATATTTAAGGGATATATTTTCTTGAATCACAATATTGACCCAAGCGCTCATACATGTATACAAATTCACCCTTATAATGTGTCACTATTGACGACACGTAATGTACCACTGAAAGAACAATATCATTAAATCCTACAATAAATCTAGAGAAATATGATGGCTCGTGTTAAGTTGGGGACTTGTGTACCGAGGTAAATATATTCCACCATAAAGAACTCAACCGACTAAACTATGCTCAATTCGTATATTTGAGGGATATATATGTGCCATAGTTTGAAACACGTTGTTGTTCTAAATTAGCATTGCCCTGAATATATATCTGTCAATGAAATGTAACATTTCACTTCTTCTAATTACACTAGTAACTTCAGCATTAGAGATGAAATAACTTGTCTAAATTTGGTGTGCCCTCTGGTTGAACTTAGCCACTGCTTGTAGGGCTTGCTCTATAGTTTTGAGAGCCTTAGAGCAGGAAATTGTGAGTCCTTTAGGCTAAATGTGGTTTTGTTTTGTAATATAGTAATGAATTATGTATTAGTATTACTAAGAGGTAAATGATAGCAGGTATGTAGTCTTTCAGACACAATATCAATACAACATCTAAAAATCATGGATCCTATATATAGATGAATCCACTTGGTAAACTCTGGTATTATATTTTGTAAAATGATAATTTAAATAAATAGCAAACATGACTATGAGTAATAAAATATTATGGATAAGAATAATTAAAATACAAATAACTCTAAATAAATCATCAACCCCTAGATTATATGTTTAGGAAAATTTAAGTATTGGTTTCATATTTTTCTGATTAGAACAAACTAGTTCAAACGAGTAAAAAGATCTTTCTAATGAGTATTAAAAGAGTTGAAGGCATGAGCAATCTATGAACTTGTCAAGGGATGCCACTTAGTTTTAGAAATTTTGAAAATGTGTTTCTGGATTTCTAAACTTATTAAATGGTGCACTGAAGTCCTAAACTTGTATGGTGCACTGTAGGTCTATTTCTGAACCATATGGATCACGTGGGTGCATCACTGAATAAATTGAGGGAAAAAGAAATACGTTTTTAAAGTTTGTGGATGTAAATGACACCACTTAACAAGTTTAAGTGCTGCTCATACAGTGTGGACCTAAGTGACCTAAGTCAATAATGATACTTGAGTGGTTATTATAATAATTAATAAATAAGGGTTTCTACCGATTAAAAAAATAAGGGTTTCTAGCTTTTCATGTAGCAACAATAAATTCGGCTAATAATTTGATAGTTTTTTTATTTTTGAAAAATTAGACTCCTCCCGTAAAAAGAATACTTGTCCACCTGTCAGTTACGGAAGCACGCGACCTTACCAGTTTAGGGCATGTTTGGAAGATCGGTTTTGGACTAAATACAACTATAAATTACAGACTTGTAAACTTATACGGAGCAAAACTGAAAAATATTATTTGGATGGCCGGTTCGCCAACAGAGAATTAGCTCGGTGAGCTCTGCCAAACAGGCCTCTTAGTTTCCCCACGCTTTTCATATACTTCATCTATTTTAAATTATAAGACATTTATATATTTAGTATATACTATGTCTAAATAGACAATAATGGTTACGTACCATCTTAGGGGAAAAAATTATTCTAAGATCTCCAATTTTTTTCTAGGAAAAAAGAAAAACCCTAGAAAAAACATGTAGATTATAGTAGTGCATTACCGCGGTGAAGGTGGACAACTAACTATTATGTGTGTCTATAAGTGCTTCGAAGTTGTTATCAACTCATCATGTGTCATTGTTGAGTACACCAACAGATGGTGAGGAGTGAGAGCGAGCAGATAACGACCGTTGCAACGAATGAACACTTTTGCTAGTAAAATACAAAAAAAAACTCAAGTATTAGTTTCATATTTTTTATTAGGACAAATTAGTTCAAATTTTAGAGAGTAAATTTTTTTGTATTATTATTATATATTTTTTCAAAAACACAAAACCACCCTGAAACCATCTAAATAGTCGAATTTATCTATTAGTGAATATTTATACTTCAATGATATTTTTTTCTAGATTTCATGTGGGGTAACCAGTTATTAGTTTAACTAATCTCTGTTCAATCAAAACAAACTAGATGCGAGCTACGGTTGTTTGAGATGCAAACAACTCCCCTACGATTATACGGGAGTTAGTTTAGATTGTCCGAGAGATATTTGATCAGGCTTATCAGCTCATACCAAACCGATAAACACAGACTCGTCATATATATAGAATTGATCAGGCTCATCAGGTCATGCCAAACACCAGTCGACGACGGTTCGGCCGAGATGGCGCCATCCATTAATATCCCGATTGCCTTGCTCATCGCCTTCACCGCCATGTCGCTGCAGCCATCGCCATCAGCGGCGTTCTCGTTCCCACCAATCGTCCCATGCATACCGGGCCTTCCTCGGATCCCACTGTTCCCTTGCTATGAGCCGCCGCCGCAGCCGGCGCCACCGAAGGAGCCGACGGAGTGCCGGTCGCACCTCATGAACATGATGCCCTGCGCGGGCTTCCTCACCAACACCAGCGTGACGGCGCCTTCGGCCACGTGCTGCGACGGCTTCACGCGGGTCGCCCACGAGGGAGCAGCCATCTGCTACTGCCGCGTCGTCAACGGCGACATCGGCCAGCTCTTTCCGGCGCCGATGAACTTCACGCGCATGTTCGCCCTCGACACAGCGTGCAGCGCGCCTTTCCAGCTGAGAGCACTGGCCAAGCACTGCGACAGTAAGTCATCCTTAAATAGTTGTTGATTAGCTTGCGATGACATTATTGTCGATATATGCAACTAGCCAATAAATGACATAGATTGCTGTTGACAGGGGATGGTGCGCCGCCGATGACGCTGCCCGGTACTCCCCCGTCGTCGTCGCCACCCTAGGGTATTTCTTTTTCTCTTCTTAATTACTCAATCCATCCTAAATCGTAAGACGTTTGATTTTTTGACATCAAGTTTCACCACTCGTCTTATTCAAAAATTTGTGTAAAATATCACTTCTTTCGTCGTGGTTTGGTTTATTAATAAAAATTCTTCAAGAATAACTTAAATTTGACTATATTTGCACAAATTTTTTGAATAAGACGAGTGATCAAACTTGAGGGCAAAAAAAAGTCAAACGTCTTACAATTTGGGATGGAGAGAGTATTTTATAAGATTTAAGATTTTTTGCAAGGATTTTTGGCTATTATTTGCTTTTGTATGACTTCACATATGTGTTCTGTTCTGAATTTCTGATGACATCAACCTATCTGCTTTTGTTTTGTTTTGCAGCAGGAGCACCGTAGTTAGGTAGTTAGGACGGAAGAATAAAGCCAGCCGCGGATTGCAGAGATGGGTGTGCCTGATTTCGTCATAGTTCATTAGTTCTAGCTTAGAAGATTTCGTCATAGTTCATTAGTTCTGGCTGGAGAAGAGTGCTAGGCATCTTATTCATTAATGATACACTTTACTGGCGAAAGATTTGATTTTGTCATAAGATATTCCTTTTTAAATCGTTTCATTCTAGAAAAGCTAATAAACATGGCTTCTTTTATGGGTCTGTTTGAATTATATAATCTGGATTACGGATAGACCGTACCTTTTGGCTCCCTAGGTTAGAGCATCTCCAAGAGTACATAATATTTTCTTTCTAAAAACATAAAGTTTTACAACTCCTAAAAATATACTATTTTTAACTTATCATAACCACTTTTATATATTCTTTTTTCTTGTACATTTACATCAGAAACCTTTTCTACTATTTATTATCTTCACACCCTTTCAACTTTAGATTGACCGACAAACACGCGCCGGAGAGAAGATACGCGCGACTCCGAATCGCGTAACTTTACGCAGAACATGATGACTTTTCTCAAGTTCTAAAACATTAGGAGCATGGATTATAAGTTGTTAGAGAGGGGTTTTTTCTCATCTTGTTAAAAACCAAGGATTATGAAGGGATTTAGGAAACTCTTAGAGATGTTCGGTGGATTCTTTTTAGTTGGAGTACAAATGATCTATAATCTAAAAGGATTACAAATCCCGTCGTTGGATGATCATAACCCAACCCGCAATTTGAGATTATTCTGGCTGGTGACTATAATCCAGTTGAGATCTAAACACCCTATTGAAGCAAACACTTCAAATTTTAAGTATTAGTATTACTGCACAACGAAGGACAATATACTTTGGCCCCGTTTGGCTTACCCTATATTCGGCTTATTTTTTCAGTCGGAATAGTGTTTTTCTCTCACAACAATTCAGCCAGAACAGTGTTTTTCAGCCAGTTTCAACCAAGATTCAGACCAACGAACGAGACCTTTGTGAAGACCTACCGAGAGCCGTTGACTAGATCCATTGTAGTACGAGAATAAGTTCCCATGTTTTTTTTTCTGATTGCATTATTAGTGTTTTTTTCTCGAATACGCAAAAGATTTGCGCATCTTTATATTAAGTAGGAGATCATTTTACACAACACACCGTGCGCTAGGCATCTTTGTATATAAGGTGTGTTTTTCATTATTAGAAGTTTAAGAGGCACCTTTTTAATTGCATTGGTATTTGTCCAGCGAGATTTTAGAGTGTCAATATTGATTTTGAGTAACGCCCTGTTCTGCAGCATGTATTACTTCAGCAGTACTTTTCAGCAAACGAACAGTGATTTTCTCTCACAACAAATCAACATAAGCCAAATTTCAGCGAAACAAACAAATCATAAAAGTTAACTCTTGATGTGATAGAAACATAAGGTCGTTATACATAACTTTAAGAAATAAAGTTTACGTGCACTGATAGCTTTCTAATTGCATTGGTATTTGTCCGGTAAAATTTACCCTTAGTGTCAATATTGATTTGAGTAAAAGGTAACTCTTAATGTGATACAAACATAAGGTTATACGTAATTTTAATAATGTTTACATGCACTGATATACATCTCCTGTTTATGTTGATACTCGATCAGCATGGCTCTAAAAATTCATTAATAATTCCACCATACATTATATTGACTAGTGCTTGATAGTTGATTGATTCACAAAATACTTACCTACTGCATACAAACACGTATACAAAGTAAGCATACCTACAATAACAAGCCGATTAGTGATTGTGGTAAAGTTTAACAAATGCAACAAGCCAACAAAAATGTTGCTTTTTTACCAAAGACATTCAATGATTGTAGATGGGAAATAACCAAATAACACGCCACCCAATATTTTAAAGATTTGAATTTGAATTTTGCCTTATCAAATTGAAAGAATGGTAGAGCATTGACAACGTGACTAAAACATCTCAAAACTTGTAAAAAAAAGACTTCTATGACCAGTCAATGTGTGGTGGTAAAGCGAGAACATGCGCATCTAGCGCAGTTGTAGGAAAGAAAAAATCTCACCAAAAAAATTACAGTGTGATACGCGACCACATGCATGTCCTCGTTGTTAGTGTCACAGAATAGTCGAGGTTCGTGGTTTTTCCGTCAATGGCGTCTCGGCGAAAGTCTTACTCAAGGATCAAGTTTTTTTTTATTGTGGTAAAGTTAATAAATGTAACAAAAATGTAGCTTCGTAACCAAAACATTTTATTGTAGATGGCCAATAACACACCACCATTCCACCAACCATTTCAACAAATATTTGAGTTCGGTTTTATCCGTTGCAAAATGAAAGAATGTTAAATAACTAACAAGGACCGAAATGTCTCAAATCTTATACAAAGATGTAGACAAATTGTCGACAGAATATCGTCGGCAGTCCTCCGAGGGGTATCCCACGAAGGTAGATTGATCGGTGGGGGTGCGCGTAAAAGGAACCGGATGGTGACACAAGGCGCAGATACAGTGATTTAGACATGTTCGGGCCGTCTGATCGACGTAATACCATACATCATGTGTCTTTGGTGTATTGTATTGATCCGTAGTAGATAGATCTTGTCCGTTAGGGGACCTCTGCCTCTCCTTATATACTCTGGAGAGGCAGGGTGTAACACCCTCGGTGTTACGATCTTATTTAGTGCCACGATTTAGGCCTAAGTAAAATTTTCAAAACGAGTTTCTCGAATTTTTATTTAGAACATACGTGAAGTGATACGTGAATTCTATGCGACCTAGTTTTACGGACTCGAATAATCGTCCAAGTTCAATCACGCCGTGCGTAGAAACATTTAGGAACGTGGTACGACGATTATGGCGAGTAAATTAAGCATGAAAAGCAACGTTTATAAATATAATAGAATCCATTAATAAATAGAACGATATATATATATATATATATATATATATATATAGCTTTTGAATCAAATTTAAATTCGAGTTTTGCTGAAATTTTCCAGTGTAAATTATCTAAGTTAATAAACAGTTAAAGATATGTATATAGGTATATAGACGTTACCACGATAACTCTAAAACAAAGAACTAGAAGAAATGGTAAACGTACTTAGTGTTATACTGTACTAGTTAACCGACTGTTCTTCGCTCTTTCTAATCTCCGCTCGCCGGTCTGCTGGTCACTGCTGTCTCCTTCCCACTGTTTTTCCCCGATCTCTGGCTTGCTGTTTTTCTTTCAATCAGTGTTTCTGCGCTGTCTTCCGCGTCGCTGTTGCAGTTGAACATGCGCCGGTGCATCTCTTTGGAGCTGTCCGTGTTAGTGGACACGCTCTGTCGGTCACCTTGGGCCAAGCCAAATCCTCCCCGTCCTCCTTGTGCTGCTGTCCCTGTCTTTGTTTTATTTTTAGCTGCCGAACCACTGCCATGCCATGTCCACTCCCTGCCTCTGCTGTCTCTGTTGCCGGCGAGCAAAGTTCCAATTCACGAATTCCCACGTCTCTGCCTCGTCTTGTCCCGGCCTGCTCTCTATCTCTGAGTGCATTGCCGAGCTGTCATCCACCTACCGCACCTGCCCGCGTACTTCTTGAGCGCCGAGCCCCGCGGAGCTCCTTGGTCGCGCCTGTTGTCATTTGCTCGGTGGCCGCACCACCACAGCCATGCCTCTCCCCAGCGCAAGCTCAAGCGAGACCCACGGCTTGCTCTGGACAGCAGCCACTGCCTCGCCTCCCATGGCCATGCCCGAGCCCCGCTACCTCCCGTGTGCGCGCACGAGCTTCCTTGCCTCGCGCCGGAGTCGCTGCTCCAGTTCCTCCTCATCTCGCGCGTTGGGCCCGTGAAGCACCGGCGCCTCCCCTCCTCTACTGGCCTCGCGTGAGCTCCCGCCATGGCTGCCGAGCAGCCGCGCGCCCGCAAAGACGCGCGCGCGCCACCCGCTTCCGCTCCACAAGGTGCCCGCCGTCCGGTCCCCTTCGCGCACGCTGCGCGTGAAGCCCACGACAAGCCTTCGGACCGAGCCACCTCACCAGCCTCGCCAGCGCTTTCGCTTTCGCGTAAGCAACCGCACGTCCCCTCTCCTTCTCCTTCTACCTCGGTCCACCGCCGTGGCCAGGCGTGTGTGCCGCGGTCTCTCCCGTGCGTGAGCTCATCGGCCGCTGGTCTGCTCGCACCTTCTCGCTTCCCCTTCTTTTCCATCCCTGTTGTCCGCGCTCTGGCCCGACATGCCGTAGCCCCAGAAAAGCTCGTGGTCACGCTGTTTACCACGCCGCGCCATGGTATTCTCAAGCGCCATCTCCGCCCGCCGTCGTCTGCGTGCTGGCTTTCTTGGCGACCGGTGATGATGCGCCCATCGCCATGGTCAGCCGCCGTCGTCGCCATCGCCGTGGAGCCGTCCGTGTCGCCCCACCTTTCGCGCGAGCTCCACGCTGCGACTGGTGCGCCGTCCCACGCCGAGCCCTGCGCGCCCATGCCGAACGCGGCCGTGTCCTCGCTGCCCATGCCCACAACGCCGTTTCACCTCCGTCACCGCCGACCGGTGGCTCCCATGCCGGTGCCCTGCGTTGGAAGAGGAAGGAAGGGTGAGAATCCAAGCCGGAATTTTATACGGGGTTCTTTACGCAAATACTAGACTCAAGTTAATAGTGTTGTTGGACCTTGTCATAATTTAAGGGAAGTTCAGTGACCAGTTCACGAATGTGACGCGCCTTGTCCCCATGCTCGGCGCTTGGGGCGTGGTCGGCCTTTGCGCCATCGCTACTGCTGCTTGCCGCTTTGGGCGCTCGCGCCCGCTCCCACTGGGTAGGCCACGCTGGCGGGCGTGGGGCCGCTTTACCGGGCCGGCTTGTCATTGGTTATCGAGCTTGTTTGGTCGTCAAATCCATCGCCCTTTGCCATGCTACCGGGCAGCGTTCGTCCGTCTTGTTGGGCGGACCGATTGCATGTACGCCTGGGGCTGGCTCGGTGTCTTCTGGTCACAGCCCGTGTGTGCCT